AGAGATTGGTGAGATGAGCGAAAAATCAGATTGAAGGAGACTGGCTCGTCAATACAGATCTTCTAAGAGTACGATATCGTTGGAATCGAGAAGGAATGGTCTTAAATACTGAAAGAGACTTAAGTGCCCCGAATACTGTCAAGCGCAACTCCATCATATCCCAACATGCTGTCATCAACTGAGGCGGGTACACTTTGTCAATGAAAAATCATTATTTTAGATGACAAAAAGTATTCCACTTTGAGTAATTCTGAAATGAAGGGACACGACGGATTTTATACGGACAACGTACAGGAATGCCCTGACAATGTATGATATAAAGATAAACCGAAATTTGCAGATAAAATCCTTGTCTGTTGCGCAATTTCTAACAGGCGTGTATCCTAACCTTTTGTGGGAAGAGAGAGTGGTGAAGCTTTGAATAGTAACAGGTATTTTGATAACTGCTTTTCCAAATTGCTTCAGTTTGTCCACGAAGATCATGCTAATAACCATATCATGTTTTGTTCAGACCTAGCATCATGCGGTTACTCAAGAGATACCCAAAACTATCTTCGACAACACAACATTCTTTTGTACCCAAAAACGATAATCCTCCAAACTTGCCGCAGGCTCGCCCAATAGAAGATGTTTGGGTTTTGCTGTCTATACTATAACTATCTAAAACTGTAATGACTCATCGATGTTCACGTGAACATTACTTAACTACCAGTAGTCGGGTGTTCATAGGCGGGGTATGAATGTTTAACATGGGTGAACTAGATTTGTCACACGCTTAATAAAGAGTGGTTTGAAACATATTGTAAGTCAAAAATTTGGGAATTACCTTTATTCATCGTCGCTTCCACTTACATCTGACAGTAATAAACTGTCGCTATCGCTTTCCTCGTTGAAATTGACTATAACTGGCTCTATGATGGTGTCGATGTGGCGGTCAAGCTGCCACATTTTTGTTTCTTCCTTTACAACATGACGGATAGCCAAGCTTCGGGCGTTACTAGCTGTATGGAAGTCTCAAGTAAAACCTTAACGTCTGGTAATTTGAAGGTTGTGCTACGGCGCGCAATATAACCCTTCACTTGAGCCCAGATGAGCTCTATTGGGTTCAGTTCACAGTGGTAGGGCGGGAACCGCAGCACGGTGACACCACATTGACGGGCCATCTCATCAGTCACGTAACTAATGTTCCCAGGTTTGTGCTGTTTAATTTTTTCATACAATTCCGCTTTCACACATGAATCGTCAAACGGGATTCCTTTTTCGCGCAACCATTGCTGCATGTCACTTTTTCGAGATCCCATAGTCGGTACACGTTCGGCTCGACGACTATGGTAGGAAGCATTATCCATGACGATCACAGAGTTGGGCTCAACTCGCTGAAGCACCCCTTGAAACCAGCTCTCGAAGCAGCTGGCATTCATTTCGTCATGGTAATCACCTCCTTTCCTAGAGATGGAAATCAAGTCACACTCTTCTAAAAAAAGCCACTATCGCTACCAATATGAGTTACGATCAATCTTTGACCTCTCCCTGATGGTCCACGAAGACCTGTTGACAAACCTTCAATGCTTGCTTGTCGGTTACTCACTACGTTTTTGTCTATCCAGGTTTTTTTAACTGTGTGACCTGCATTTACCCATGTCTCGTCCAAATAATAGATTTTTCTGCTTTATCGCCTATATTCAATCATTTCGCGTAGGTATTTTCGACGCCAGGCGACTATTTCAGGTCTCTCTATCAATACTGACTTCCGATTACGCGTTTCGTAACGAAAATTAATTTCGTGCAGGGATTTCCTCATTACCTCGACGCTCATTTGGGGTATAATTTAATTTTCCTTGATCGCTGCATGTACAGCCTTGAGGATTGGTATCTCATTCCTAAAGAAGAATGAATGTACGGTTCGCCTTAATGCCATTTTGCTATCGTCATCCAATTTAACGGCCTTTCGTCCCTTCAAATTAAACTTTGGATCAGTAGTAGCTCATGTTTTCTTCTTTTCATGCACCACCCTGCGAATGGTCCACTCTGGAACGCCTGTCATACTTTCACAACGCGCGAGTGCATCTCCCTGCGACATAGTTCTGTTCAGATAATTGAACACGTTGAGCACGATTTCTTTCGCGTCCCTCTTCAGTGCTTTACGAAACCGTCTACTTGTTCCCTGGCTTTCAGTACTTCCACTCGTGCCATTTGTACTCTCCATGGTTAAGTATAACCAAAACAGTAACCACAGAAACCACAACAATAACAATCACACAACAATGCTTATAAAAACATACAATATGCGATCGCTCAACGAAACACGTTCCAATGCGTTGCCGACGCCTATGAGTCTGCCGGTCGAGGCGCGTCTTTGATTTCATTGGTTCTACCGGCGGAGAAGAATCAGCCATTATTTCCATCTCTGTCTGTGCTGTTGACCACCGCAAAGCCACAGAAACGACATATGTCGTACGCTCGGCTGTACTGGAAGGAAGCCGGGATCGAGCTCTGATCACGTGTTGATCACGCGTATGAGTCATTACAGTTTTAAATAGTTGTAGTATAGGAAGGTTCATCATGGAGGCTGGGAAGCTCAAGATGAAGAACAATTAAGTCGGCGAATTTACGAAAATTTGAGATCTGAATTCCGTCCAGGACCTCATGAGAGACTTCGAAGAGAGTTACGTCTGGTAGAGCAGAATAGGCTACTCCACATAATTCGATAGTACAGTTTAGTTAAATATTGAGTTGTAATTTATGATAACTAGTTAGTGTTTAAATAAATATCCTTATTAAAAAAAATCCAATAAATATTTTATGGCAAAACCTTTAGGACATACGCGGAAATGCGCACCCTTGTTGGGACACTCATATTGAACATTTAGTAAGAAAACTGAGATTTATTATCTATAAGACTAGACACCTTAAGCATTATCTAACACCACAGCAACCTAGAATAATATATTGCACATTAATCGAATAATATTTATGGTATAATAGTTTGAGGATCTGCTAACAAGACTCATATAGATCAGCTGGAGAAAATCCCAAAATTGATACTCAAACCAATACATAATCGACCAATGACTTACAATAGCGATATGATCTACCTAAAAAGTAAAATTACACCTCGTATAGTTACGACACAATTACAAAGATCATACACATTCTTGGCTCCAAGTAGTTATAATTTACTTCCACCTGAAAGAAAGAAGAACAATAATAAGTATGAATAGATTCAAAACTGGCGTAAAGGATAGTGGAAATGCAGCATATTTGTTGTTAATCAAACGAAACCACAAATGCTAAAAACAGGACGTAATCTTGACATTTCCTGCTACCAGCCACACGGGAACGAAACGTTTACTTTCGGTAGGAATCATTTACTATGATACGCAACATATTGATTGCAATTATTTGAACTGTTATGTGTCCTTGTTAGTTTCAAATTTTATTTTGATTTTGTGAATATATTTAGAATTAAAAATGTGACATGGAATTTAAGGTTAGTTACGATGTCATGTTGTTAATTAAGAATTGTAGAGCACTATTAGTTCAGGCTAACTACTGATTTGTGATTATTATGACTGATTACTTAATAATTAATAATTATAAGTTATTTTTATTACCAAAGACTCTAAAACGGTTACAAAGTTGAGAAATTTATTTGTTTCTTAGAAAAAGTGTAAGCAATTGAAAAAAAAACGATTATAATTTGGAATACTATATTCCAAATTACCTGCACCCTTACGCTTTTGAAGTTTTTTACTTTGATAAATATGTTGTATGATTGTTTATATCATCAAAATTGAATGATTTACCAACAATTTTATCCTTTTTTTAATTTTGATATCCCGTTTACCTTGAGATTTATTTTCAAAAAACAAATCAGTATTTCAAATATGCTGGAGTTCCTTTACTGTCAAAAACTCTTCCATAATACGATTGATATAAAATAATGGGACAACAAGATATATCATTATGACAAATCTAATCCCTGATTGAGATATAAATAGATAAAATCGATTATGTGAAATAAACAAGATGCGTCCTGAATGTACGTACCAGCTCATAATCCCATGAAATCAATCACTGTATCGGACCTTCAAATATACTTTTTCTTCTTCTTTGTGTATGTGTATCGTATCAATCAAAACTTAGATTTTCGTTATTCAGCAAACCTTTTTTCTATTCATATTTTATTAATTTCAATTGATGTACAATATTATCTTGCATATATGTTTGTATTCTTTAGTAGTTAGTTAGGAATTACCACCCACGTACAAGGAATGTATGATTCTTTCTGTGGATAGTTTATTTATTCGAGTACTTTATATTACATGATAATGCAATTGCAATAATGATATTACTATTATTAATAATAATATATAATTATGAAACGTTCTTAGATTAAGGAATTCAGTAAAAAGATGGCCAATCGTATGTCATATGTTGTGAACATTAGCTCACAGTTTCCATCGCCACAGTCAAGTTGCCAAGTAGGATTGCAATCCCTTAGAAGTAATAAAAACAGACCAATTGTCGTTTTGAAGAACGGTTGATTATCCTTGGGATGTCATCAACCTTTCCAGAAAAGATCACCCCTCAACCTTCCTCGTAGTATTCTTAAGTGACAACCCTGACTACTAAACACGCTTATATAGGGAGTCCCAAAAGTCATTGATCAGAAAAAAGGGGTGATACGAGGGGTTTATTTCCTATCTGAAAAATTATATGTCATTATCCGATTGTGCACGGCTTTTGATTTATCGCCATTTTGGGGAATTTGTAGGAAATTGCTACATTTGCAAGTGTGATCCATTTTTCTGTATTATTATTGAAAATTGGTCTAGTCTAGAGAATGTAGGTATATCAATTGGTTCAAATAGTTGTCTGGTGTTGAAAATATAACTTGATCATGTATCATTTCCATAAAACCTTATATGTCCTTATCCATATATCACTCTAAAACGTATTTTTTACCATTTTTTTCCTACTACAGACATCTACCGTAGGTGGTAGACGGTCTCTGACTGTCGAACGCGGAGGTACCACCCGGCGGATCTCGTAGGCGGAGCCAGAATGTGTGCATGTTGGATGCACACGTGTTCCCTCGCCAGAGTCCGTGTGGCGTTCCCCCTTTCCCCTGTATCCCCCTATAGCCCCACGGTACCCAATGGGTGTTTAGGCCTTAGGCCTTCGTGGTAGTTGGAGAATAAAAAAAAACCAAATTACACAAACATCTCCTCTATCGTTAATAAGCAGAAATTAGAAATTAACAGAGCACCAAATATAAAATACATTGGAATATTGCTGGATCCATGTCTGCTTTGGGATGTTCATATTTCATGTATCCTAAAAAAAAAGTTAGATGTCTCCTGCACAATCAAATACATCAAACCGTTTTAAAAGATGTCTCTATACCTTATACCATACATTGATCGAGCCACATTTATAGCATGCTCAACTAATATTTCTGATTTGGATATTTTTCAAATAATGATTTTAAAATCAATGTTTAGTAAACCAAAATTGTATCCAACTGATATACAAATATATAGACGAATATGACTTGGAACAGCTTCTTCTCTGCGATAACCAACAATCACAGATTTATGAATAACGACCAAAAAATTAAACTCAATCACTACACAAGGCATACACTTAAAGGAACAGTAGCACCTAGACCAAATAAATATATAACAAACGATCATACCTTTATCCATGTCCAAAATTATACGTAAATTTACCTGACGTTATGAAGGGTCTACGCTTTAGAAATAAAAAAGTTAAAAGAATGTATTTTTACTCTGGCAAGACCAAATGTACACAAATTAATAGTAAATGCAAACATCAAATAATTCGTTGACTAGTTGTATCTCTAATCATATTTCAATAATACAAGTATGTACAATTGCAACATTAATGGTCAATGTACAGGCAATGCCTCCTATGGGCAGTTACTTGTTGTTAAATTATTGAATTACAATTTACTTTGAATAATATTCCACTATTATTAAGATCTGATAATGGCTTCTATGGTTAGATGTCAGAGTAGCAAACGCTAGAGAATCCAAGTATTTTTATATGAGCGCATGGTCATAACACCTTCTACGTCAAATCTATAATAAAAGACACAAAAGATGTATAAAAATGTGAATATTTGACATTGATTCGAGATCCTAGATATTTGAAGTGACGTAATTTTATTGTTTCAAAGAAATACTGCTTCTGCAATTAGAAATTGACCTTAGTTCAAAATATGTCTTAGAAATATATCAAAGTCACGATAGTTACTCTTTAAACAAGAGCATTCTTTTCGCGTACTAAGTCAAATATTTGATAATTTTGGAGAACAATGTTAAAATTGCGCTCTTTGTGCTTTCGGGAGCAATCATGTTTTTGTATAAAGTAAAAAAAATGTTGGTGATAGTTTCAAGCAATATGTTCTAGAATATTTAAGCACAAACGTTTATTTCATAAATACGATCAACTTGAAGTTTACTTTCAGACTGAAACCTTTTCGCCATTTTAGTCTTACCTTAGCTATACTGCAATGCCGTTATAAAGAAACAAGGACGTGTATTAAGATTTTTTTAATACTGTTATTACTATTAGCCCATGCAAGGTATTGATCTCTCTATGAGAGCGACTTTGCAGAACGAATCACCACAATTTTGTCTCGGTCTGCAATCAATGGTGGTTAGCGTTTCATCTGATTGCTGGTGCAGCTGTAGCATTAGCTAGCTCTTAGGCTTAGTTATAGGCAGAGAGCCAGCTTAGCACAAAAGGGAATTAAAGAGCTTAACTAGACGCTCTGTTTATGGCCGTCTGGAGCTTTGCGCCACGGTGCTGATTCTCCAGACCATGCCAGGGACGTCACCTATGGAAAAATAGGATAGTGCATAGCGAATATTAATGGTGCTTGATGGTTAAGATCATCTGTCATGTTGATTACAATAGAGGCAAGATCCCTTGGTGGGAATGTGCGATATGATATACTCAGTGACTAAGAATGTAGAACAACGAGTAAAAATGATTTTATTTGAATTAAATTTTATTCACAATTGGAGATAAGCATATAAGCAGGGAGAGGTCATGATTAAATATTTGAAGTGAAAACGTTTGTTGTATCGCTGGATTCCTGGGGCGATACCGTGTATACAGGGTGTTCCTTAATGATATGCGAATATTTAAGGGTGTGAATCTACATGAAAAATTAATGTTAGTTTGCTTTATAAACTATGGTCCAAAAATGTTTCCTTACAAAAATTCGGGGTGATGAAGTTTTAAGGATAAAATGGAAATTAATTAATATTTTCAGAACCGCTTCAGATATTTTACTGATATTTAGTACGTAGTGAAAGTTAATGAAGTTGCATATTTTTCAATGCAAAAATAATTTTTAGCTTTAACAGTCGCGTGCGTACGGGTATTGATTTCGATATTTTTTAAGAAAAAAATAGGACACCAATGGTTTTTTGCCAAATAAAAACTATTTTTGAATTCCCCGTTCAATTTAAAACAAATGATCTCTCTTGAGTTGTTTTCCCTTCGATGCGCCATTTTTGATTAAAAAAAGAAAAACTGTTCTATTGTCCGAGAAAATTAATGTAATGATTGAAGAATGCAATTTAGCAATAAATATCTAGTTGCTCTGGAATATGTCACTGGCTTTTGACATCTGACAAGTCTCTGTTATTCAAATCTGTTCGCTGTGACATCTTTTTCATTATTTAGTTTTTACAATGATGTTAATAATGGTGAACTATTCAAATGCAGAAATGGCGGAAATGCATTACGTATATGGCCTTGCCGACGGTAATGGTGAGCAAGCCAGACGGATTTATCACCAGAGGTACCTCGATCGTGTTTTGCCAGATAGCCGAACCTTTTCTAATATTCATCGTCGTCTTGTTGAAACTGGTTCTGTCCGAAAAGGAACATCTGAAGGTAGACCTCTAAATGTGAGAACACCTGAAATTGAGGAAGCAGACGAAGTCGAAGAACATCCAAATCGTTGGAATGGCCGCGGTGGGCCCCAAGAATGGCCACAAAGGTCCCCAGACCTCAACAGTTTAGATTTATTTTTGTGGAGCTATCTTAAGACACTAGTGCACACGACAAGTCCCATTATCACTGTAGAGGAATTAAGAGAAACAAATTGTGATAAAATAAAAAACACTCCAGGGATATTTCAATTATATGAGAAGGAGGGCGGAAGCATGCGTACTAAGTGAAGGGAGATATTTTCAACAATTTGTGTAATCATTTTGTTGGTTTTAATGTTATGTTTATGTTGTCAGTTGTTGATGTTCATTACCCCTAATGTGTTTAATTCTTCCAATTAAATTAATAATTTTGCAAGTTAGACAATAGAACGGTTTTTATTTTTTTACTTAAAAATGGTGCATCGAAGGAAAACAGTTCAAGATGGATCATTTGTTTAAAATTGAACTGGCAATTTGAAAATATTTTTATTCAGAAAAAACCATCGGCGTACCATTTTTTCCTCAAAAAATATCGAAGTCAATATTGATACGCACGCCACTGTTAAGGCTAAAAATTATTATTGCATTGAAAAATATGCAACTTTATTAACTTTCACTACGTACTAAATATCTGTGAAATATCTGAAGCGGTTCTGAAAATATTATTTAATTTCCATTTTTTTTTTCTAAAACTTCGACACCCCAAGTTTTTGTGAGGAAACATTTTTGGACCGTAGCAAAATAACATTAATTTTTCATGTAGATTCACACCCTTAAATAGTCGCATATCATTAAGGAGCACCCTGTGCACATTGATCCAGTTGTCAGAACGTGTTTTCAAGGAGGAAGAGTACCTCATCCCAAAAAAACTGTATCTAGAAGTGATGCTAGTGTTTGTGGAGGATGGGGTAACGTCTGTCATTATTCCCATCATTTTCCACACACGTTCAATGGGAGAAAGGTATTGAGATCTAGGGGGTCAAGAAGGGAGTTTTGCTTGGCGTTATTGAGGTGGTCCATTCCTGCTCCAGCAATATAGAAAGTGCATGTTGTTAGAAAATGGTGTTCTACTAACACCTGGATCCACTGCTGCGCTATTATGCCTCCTCTACTTAAAATGGGACGCCTCAAGGAGTAATTCAGATTTATTGGTGCAGGTGACGTTCAACTGAAAACTCCATATTACGTCTTCCGCCGCGAAGACTTCTTCTTCTTTTATGCCGTTCCCCATATCAATTTTCTCGGTTCCTGTTCTGTTTAGGAATTCATAATAGACAGGTACCAGTCAGAAGTCGAGAAATAATGATAAGCTTTCAGTTGAACGAAAAGTTCAACAGAGTATATGGTTTGTCCTGCCATTACAGATGATGCTAAGCCTATTAAGTTAGCTATAGTTGTCATTAGATGAGATATGTAATCGCAACAGTATATCTAGGAGATAAAGGAACCTCGTATTTTGCCCTTACTCTAAACGCTTGAAAGCTCTATTTTCCAACAAAATATTTGCTGTTCCATATGCTAGGCTGACGCGATAACGCTTATTTCAGCCCCCTCCCTTGGCATTGTAGATCTCCAGACCTTCCACCCATTCCTCTTCACCTCTTTCTCCACCAACGCTAGCAGGTATTCGGTACCAAATACATCTAGCCTGAAATAAAATACCTCAAAAAAAAAAAAAACATGAATCACTTCCCCAGGCGATTCAGCAAATCTGTTTGTTTCAAAACATAATCGCGACTTTATCTTAATTACCTGTAATTGTGTATAAAATTTCATTCAAATAAAATCATTATTACTGGGTGTCCTATTTTCTTTATCACAGAGTATATGTATTATGCATGGACTAGAATGTCTTCACCTTACAAATGGTCCGGGACCCTTACTACATCATACGTATAAGCGATTGAAAGTATTATTATTATTTATAATACAGGATTTGAGCAAGCTATAAACTCCAAACAGAGATAAGAAATTAAACGCAGAGCAAATTAAGATCATGTCATAAGCAAACTGGAGTTGGTTGTGCGCCCAGCTGTCGAAAAGATTCTTGTTAATGCATTAAGAACGTCGTAGGGCAGCCTGTTCCAGGTATCAAATACTCGGTTAGAAAAATTGGCGAGGTGTAGACCGAAACTTCTTTATGAAGAACTATAGGCGGTTCATCAGCAATAAAGTCACTTCCTCCCTGTTTTTCAAGCATTCCAATAGCCCGGTACTTGCCAT